GGCGCATGGTCATTGATTTAAGGAAGTTGAATCAAGCTACTAGGAAGGACCATTTTCCATTGCCGTTCATTGATCAGATGTTGGAGAGATTGGCTGGTAAGGATTTTTTCTGTTTTCTTGATGGATTTTTAGGTTACTATCAAATCGTAATAGCTCAAGAAGATCAAGAAAAGACCACATTTATCTGCCCATTTGGCACTTTTGCTTACCGAAGGATGCCATTTGGGTTGTGTAATGCTGGGTACATTTCAGAGATGCATGTTAAGTATTTTTTCTGATTTTATTGAAAAATGCATTGAAGTGTTTATGGATGACTTTACTGTGTATCGTGATTCTTTTGATATTTGCTTGCATAATCTGACCATGATTTTGAAAAGATGCATAGAGACAAATTTGGTTTTGAATTATGAGAAATGTCATTTCATGGTGAATGAAGGTATTGTGCTTGGACATGTGATTTCTTCTAGAGGCATAGAGGTTGATAAAGCAAAGGTAGATTTGATTGTAAGCTTACCCTACCCTATGAATGTTAGGGAAGTGCGTTCTTTTCTTGGCCATGCAGGATTTTATCGCAGGTTCATCAAGGATTTCTCCAAGATTGCATTGCCACTATCTAATCTACTTCAAATAGATGCCGTGTTTGACTTTGGTGAGGAATGCAAGGAAGCCTTTGATAAACTCAAGAGTTTATTAACGATTGCTCCCATCAGTCAGCAACCAAATTGGAATTTGCCCTTTGAGATCATGTGCGATGCAAGTAACTATGCTATGGGGGCTATCCTAGGTCAAAGAATTGACAAGAAGAGTCATGTTATCTATTATGCTTCAAGGACCTTAAATTCGGCACAATGCAACTACACCACAACTGAGAAAGAGCTTTTGGCAATTGTTTTTGCTTTAGATAAATTTAGATCTTATTTGCTTGGCTCTAAAGTGATTGTTTTCTTTGACCATGCAGCTTTAAAGTACTTGTTGGGGAAAAAAGAGTCTAAACCAAGGCTTATCAGATGGATTTTACTGCTTCAAGAGTTTGACATAGAGATCAAAGATCGCAAGGGAGCTGAGAATACAGTTGCTGACCATCTTAGCAGGTTAGTTAGGGAAGAAGATGCATTACCAATTTTTGAATTTTTCCCAGATGAGCAACTCTTTCAGGTTAAAGGTATGATTCCTTGGTATGCTGATATTGTGAATTATCTTGTATTGGGAACTTTACCGGATGTTAGCAAATTTAAGAGAGATAAGATTCGATCTGAAGCAAAATATTATGTATGGGATGATCCCTATTTGTGGAAATTTTGTGCAGATCAATTGATTAGGAGATGTATCCCTGAACATGAACAAAATTCTACCTTAGCATTTTGTCATTCTTATGCATGTGGAGGCCACTTCGGTCCCAAAAGAACTGCTAGAAAAGTCTTGGATAGTGATTTATATTGGGACACATTGTTTAAAGATGCATATTTGTTTTGTAAGAATTGTGAAAAGTGCCAAAGAACTGGAAATGTATCTCGTAGAAATGAAATGCCACAAACCCCTATTCTTATTTGTGAAGTCTTTGATTTGTGGGGAATAGACTTTATGGGATCTTTTCCTTCATCTTGTGGTTTTCTCTATATTTTATTGGCTGTGGATTATGTATCGAAATGGGTGGAAGCAAAAGCCACCAAAACTGACGATTCTAAATGTGTTGTAGGATTCCTCAAGACTAACATTTTTAGTAGGTTTGGAGTGCCTCGAGCTGTCATTAGCGATCAAGGAACTCATTTTTTGCAACAAGTCAGGTGAGGCTTTAATGAGAAAGTACGGAGTTCAACACCGCATAGCCACAACTTACCACCTTCAGACGAATGGCCAGGCTGAAGTTTCTAATCGGGAGGTAAAATCTATTTTGGAGAAAACGGTAAATCCTAGTAGAAAGGATTGGAGCTTGCGACTTGATGATGCATTGTGGGCTTATCGCACTGCCTACAAAACACCTATAGGTATGTCTCCTTTCCGTTTAGTTTATGGGAAATCTTGTCACTTACCGGTTGAAATTGAGCATAGGTCATTCTGGGCGGTTAAACAATGCAACATGGATATGGAGAAGGCCGGTAAGTCTCGTAAGTTGCAATTGCAAGAGCTTGAGGAATTAAGGTTAGAAGTTTATGAGAATTCGAGAATTTATAAAGAAAAAAACAAGTTGTTTCATGATAATTTACTTTTGAGTAAATAATTTGAGGTGGGTCAAAAAGTTTGTTATATAATTCTCGTTTAAAGCTCATGCTAGGAAAGTTACGGTCTCGTTGGATTAGTCTGTTCATTGTTACTAATGTTTTTCCTCATGGTGCAGTTGAAATCAAAAGTTTAGATACTGATAAAGTTTTCAAAGTGAATGGGCGGAGGTTAAAACTCTTTTACGAGGATTTGAACGTTTCTAGTGTGATTGACATCACATTAGAACTTCCTCGTTACCTTTCCAATTGAGGAGATGAAGCCGTCGAGCATAACGATGTTAACAAATTGCGCTGTTTGGGAGGCAACCCAAATGTTTATTCTTGTTGTGTTTGATTATTTTGTTTGTTTTAGTGCTTGAAGTTGAAATTTTAGTGTGTATTTAGTATTTTTCTTTTACTTCTAAAAAATAAAAATAAAAAAAAATAAAATAAAGGAGAGGTAAGTGGTGTTAGGCATGATCATGTGTAATAGGAAGGTCGAATCTGTCCTCGACCGAAATAAATTTTTTTTTCTTTATTGTTGAAAAGCAAAAAGTTACGTTTTTTTTTTCCTTTTCCTCCCTCCCCCAGGAACACTAAGCCGCAGCATTGATCAACGGCAACCGCACCATCGGCGTCATTGCCACAGCAACTTCGATCATCATCACCTTCTCCTCCGTCTTCCGATCTGCGTCCCTGGTTTGCTGCGCCGATCAATTCTGCCGTCGCCACCAACAGGAGAAATTTTCTATCACCGTCGCTGGAGTACCACGTCTGCCGCCGATTCCATCAATTCTGCTTCGCCCGATTTATTCCAGCGGCCTTAGTCTCAGCCACCATCCGCTTCCGATTGCGTCTGCTGTGCTCCTGCTGTTGCTCAATTCCGGACAGAGCTTACAATTCCGGCGCCCAATTGTCATCCGCCTCCTTCGCCTCTCGCTTCCATCATCAGCAGACCTCCATCATCACCGTCGCCGGAGTACCGGTCGTTCGCTGCTGCTGCTGCCGCCGTTCGCTGTTGCTGCTGATCATCGGGCACTCCACTGTTCGTCGTCGGCTGTTTCGGAGGCTGAAATACATTACCAATTCCGGCGATTGGTTTTCCTGATTGCTGCCGCTGAATTTTTACGTCCTAGGCTACAAATCACTGTGATATTTTTCTTACTTCAATTACCTTTGATTTAATTTGCCTTGCATTGTGCTACTGCATTATGTGTGTGACGACTTAAATTTTGTGGTCCTTTTGGTGATTTGCTTTGGTGCTTTCTTGTTGGGTTCTGTAGTTGATGGCCGTTCTGAATTTTGCAAGGTGATTGTGCGTTTCTGTGTATTTGACCAATCTTCTGATTCATTGAGAAGTTGAGAGGTTGGAGGCAAATTTAAATGCTTTCTTCGAGTCTCTGCAGTTCAAGCCTCCACATCCTCCTCCTTCCTGATTTTTCAGGGAAGTTTCTTTCTTCATTTTAATATCTTTTGCTACATTGCGGACAATGTTTGTTTTAAGTGTGGGGGGATTTTAGTTGTTCTTGTCTGTTTGTGTTTAGTTTTTTTTTTTCATTTATTATTTTAGTGTTTGCTTATGTTAAAAAAAAAGAGAAAAAAAGAAAAAAATTAAAAACATTGAAAAATGAAAAAAAATCAGGAAAATATAAAAATACCAAAAATAGCCGATGATGAATTTAACTTGAGACTCTAAGAAATCTAATTACATTGGGACAAAAATTTCTTTTGAATCTGTGCATTATGTGTTATACCCTGAATACTTTACTTGCGCACTTTATTCATAACTCTGGGATCAACTTAACATGTATGTGTAATTGCGTAAATTCATGCGATATGCCAAAGTTTGATTTGATTCATTCAGTATTTGTACCATGTGTATGTGGGACCTTGCTATATTATGGAACCCAAAATAAGGCATTAACCCTATCATCACTTCAAACTCGAATAACGGGGGAGTGGTTGTTTGAAAATAGCCTTTTTACCTTCTTGCTTAAAGTACTTTGTGCTAAGTAAATGTGGGAGAGGGGTTGTTGGCGGATGCTTTTCTGAGGTTAGGTACAATTTAAAGAGGGAGAAAAAGAAGAGCATTCAATGTTGATGCTAGCCCATTGATAGGTGAGAAGTTGGGCAAACAACTAGCAGAGTGTCCCCAGGCCCGTCGGTGAGAAAATATGAGTAAGTAGACTGCCCTAAGTTGCTGAGCCACTATGTAAATCACTACATAAATCAAGTGGAAAAATGCTCTGGGTAGGGGCTTGAGTGGGAAAGATCCTGAAGAAAAGTCATATGGACACTGAAGAATGGGTACGAGGGAAGTGCGTTGAATTATATAATGTGAGGTGTAATTGTAAGCCTTCGGTTTCATAATATGTGTAGGCGTAACATTGCATTGAAGTACGGTCTGAATTAGGGATCCTAAGTTCACTCTTCAGAGACATATTTGCATCTGAATTTTTGTATTTTATGCTATGTGTGATAGTGATGTCCCTAGGGAGTGGTTTACACACACACACACAAGGGGCTAAAGGGTAAAAGCACGTAATGTATTTGATTCGGTTGTGAATTTTTTTTTTATTGTGACCATGGTTTCTTTTGAGTGTTAAGAGTTCCTGAGGCGCATCATAAATAATAATTTGTTGAAAGTTTAGAATTCCTAGTTCGTTAATGCTTGAGGGCAAGCATGCTTTAAGTGTGGGGGAATTTGATAGAGTCCATAAATTATGCTTTAATTGTTATTATTTTATGAGTTTATCGACTTGGATGGTTTTAATTCATTAGGTTTTATTAATGTTTTGTGTTAGGAGCTGGAAATCGGAGTTTACAACTTTTTGGAGCTAATTGATACAAAAAGAGACTGCAAAAAATCATCCAACTTGAGCAAAGGAAGAAGTTTACTCCAATGATGGACCTAATTACAAAGTATTGAAGTTGTTGGGAGAAGAAGTTGCGAATAAGAAACTTTATGGACTGAATTTTATCATTGAAGAAAGTTTGGACCAATTGTTGAGAGGCTGAAAAATTAGAGGACCAATTCTACAATTTTGACCCTTGTTTTAGTAATTGCGGCTGACCTAATCTACATATAACTAAGGGTGGTGTGGCACGGTATAGTGGCTGTTGCCCGTGCCTTGTGTACACCTATTTTACATTGATTGGGCAAATAGAATTGAATATTATTTGGTTCCTACGTGTCTTTGTGCCAATGTACCACCATTTGCCTACCATTTGGTGCTTTGGGTTAGCCGGAAAAAAAACCTATCATTTGCATTCCTTTTACTGAACTTTGATTTGGGCGAACCAAATCTGCTTCACTTTCCTTCGGTTAGCTAAAAAAAAAACCCCAAAAAAACCTACCATTTGGATTGCTTTTGCTGAACTCCGAATTGCGCGAACCAATTGGATTTTGGCTAGCCTGTGTTCATCGATATATTTTGAAAGAGACGGCGGTATATAGCACCTCTGTTCTTGAAGGAATTACAAGGTTAGTTTTCATCTAAGTGAAGTTTTTGTTTATTGATTGATTGTATAAGATTGGGAATCCATGGATAGAAATCACAGTTTGTGCTTTCAATTTTTTTTCTTTTTCTTTTCTCCTTTCGACTGCTAATCAATTGATTTTTATTTTTCCCGGTTTTGCTGTGGATTGTTTGATTTCTTGGATTTTTAGCAGTTTCCTGGTATGGTTAATTATATCAAAAAATAGTGAATTGAGAGAGTGAATGATGCTGAGTAAATAAAAAGGCGTAATTATCCCTTTTCTCGTGCAATTTATGAAGACTGATTTTGAAAACATATTTTGATAATTTTGTACCCTTTTTCCCCCTGTTTGAAAACATTATTGTATGGCTAGTTTGGTTTTAATTATTCTTACAGTGGACAGGATAGCTTTTGTTTTATCTTGCCGTTGGTAATTATTGTTTATCTACATGTGGTTCATGTTTGGAGTTCTCTCATTGTAGTTTTCTCCATCAAGATGATGTTTTTATGTTTAACTTGCTGATTAAATTATACTGTGGATATTTACTTGAGTATCACTAATGCTTTCTGATGACTAGACTCGGAAAATGTAGTTTCCTTATCTGCAGAAGTGCACACATCTCAAAAAATTTGACATGATTTCCTGATTATTATAGGTTTAAGAGGAATTCCTTTTATTTGGTCCTCTAATATAATTTATGCTGAACAAAAAGATCAGAAAAGTGGTAAAATTGTGAACTGATTAGTTGATTGTTTTTGAACTCGAATCATCTGTACCAGTTGTTACATGAAATGATTGCCATAATATAAGAGAAAGCCTGAAACAATTTTGTTTTACAATAAGCCAAACTTAGGAAAGTGGTAAATAAAAAATGCATAAAATTGGGGATTAAATAATAGAAAAGAACAAAAGTAAGTGTACGCTAGAGCATATGCTTTTACTACAGTCTTAAGTGACTTTGTATATATAGCTGCTGATATGTGCCATTTCTTCTCAGCATTCTTAACAATCCAGCCATAAAATTACACTTTTTTCTTCTTTGTCCTCACTGAATCAACCAAAGAAATATCTATACGTAAAGAAGGGCCTAGAATAGTATTGCATTGTACTAGGTTATCAGAGGAGAAGTAATGAGATCTAAGAATTGGTTCTGAATGATCACATGTTTATACCTAATCCTTGCTTCATTTCTCTCATCTATGTGCCTTTATAGTTAAAATTAATCTTTGATGAGTCCTCTAATTGAAAATGTTCTATTATCAGCTTCATTGGTTGTTCTTTTCTGTCTTTGGTTCCATTGCTGACATGTTATGGCCTAACATGCCTATTCAAAGTCTGTTTTTTGTTATTGCTTTTTTTGGGACCTCCTCTTTTTTCTTTTATTTATCATCAGGTTTCATTTTTGCAACAATGCCTGGCAAGTTTTAATAATATATACAAATTTTTTGCTTCTGAAATTCTGACATACCTTCACACTTGCTGTTGGATGTCACTGAAGCTCTTAGAAGGATTAGATTGCAAGTGATAAAAATTGACTTGGTTAACAAATAGGGTCCTGCATTTTTAACAAATTATGTTCTTTAATTGATTGTAATGTTGGCCAACTCTTGTTTGAAAGCTTTTATTGCTACAATTGGTGTATTTTAGTAAGACTTCTTAGTTTCGATTTTATGGAAGTGAGGCATTTTGTATTGCATCCTTTAAGTTGCAAGTTTTCTTCCTTACCGTTGTGATGTGGAAAAGTTATCAAAAATGAAAATTTTTTTTCCTTGCCTCAATTTATCTCTATATAGTCAGGAAGAGGCATCTTTAGTTGCACATTTCACGCTTATAATTGTTGAATGTATATTCTAGAGAAGAGTCTAGAATCTGAGGTGTATATTATATGAATGTTTTATTGTTATTTTAGTTTCTTGCAGTAGCATAACTTCTCAGTTTAGTTCCAACAAGAGGCTTGAATCTGAAATTTCGATTTTATACCAAGTTCATCCTAGCTAATATACTTATAATTCTATGTTGGGAAGAGAAGTTGAACAATCAATGAAAGCCTTTTTTTGTACCACTATAATCCATGGAAATTATTATGTAAATATTTTGTACTGCTATAAATAGAACTTCTAAATTTGATGATAAATTCATGACAACTAATATTAGTCTGTTGTAAAGTTATTGTTGCATGGAGCTGTATAAATTCACGATGTGTTAGGTGTTTTATTCTTGGTATGAAAGAAAATTAACAATGAATTTTATATTTTCTTTGTCAGAGTGCTTTCTGTTGAGTTCTGTAAACTGCTTTGAGATTCAATCACTTGGTTAAAAATGTCAACTTCCTCAACTACATCCATCAGCAGGCAAGTGTTTTAATTCTTCTTCTATACTTGTTTTGATTTCTATTTTCTGTGCGCTTATTTATTTGCTACAAAAGTAGTTTGCATTACAGTGTTTGGACACTTCATTTTGACTTGTGTTGTTCATTGTAATTATCCTTTTTTTTTGTTCTCAAAGTATTGTTAAGTGCATTTCGTTTCATTTTGATCTCTGCTGTTCATTGTAGTTATCTTTTTTTCTTTTTTGTTCCAAAGTATTGTTAGGTGTATTTAATAATAATGGCGGGTAAAAGAAAATATAATCATGTTCAACAACGTACTCATGTAAGAAATAGTCAACGAACTGAACTTAGATGCAGAGGAATAGCTATCGGCCAAATTGATGATGATCCTTTAAAATGCATTGTAAATACTCCTGATTTGTTGGCTGATGTAGCGGATTGTAAGTTTTGTGGTGCGAAGTCTTTGTATTCTGAAAGACCAGGTTTTTGTTGTTCCTCTGGGGAGGTAAAATTATGGGAGACAGTGATGCCTTTGCCATTAATACAATTATATACAGGCAGTTCTGAAGAATGTAAACATTTTCAGGCTTGTATTCGAAGCTATAACAATATGTTTGCATTTACATCGTTAGGTGTGCATTATGATAAATCATAAGCTATTATAGTTTTTGTGTCCAGGGTCAGCTTTACCATTTCATGGATGAGTTAATACCATCAATTGGTCATAAACCAATAAATCTTCAACTGTATTTTTATGATACATAACATGAGGTTTTAAATAGAGTACTGATCAGTAATGAAAAGTTTCAAGAAAATATCATTAAAATATTAATGCATGTTTTGACTTTAAATCCATATGCCAATTTTTTCCGCAGCCTTAATGATGTTAAAAACCTAAAAGAATTTAAGATTGCCTTATATGCAGACCCAAAATTTGATAATAATGTTTTTAACAAACCTTCTACATCATAAGTTGCTGCTATCTGGTCAGAGTCTGATAATGAACAAGAAACCAATTGTCAGCATATTCAGATTTACCTAAAAAACAGCGACAGGCCTACAACATCTTCGCAAAAAAATGATAAGCCTCAGATTATAAAACAATATTTTGGCTGTTATGATCCTTTACAATATCCTCTCATATTTTCCAACGGAGACCCCGGTTGGCATCGAGAAATTAAAAGGATCAATGTAGTAGAAAAAAATGTGGCATCTGATGGAACCTGTAGAAATGAGGTCCTTCACGATATTGAGAATTTCATTGATGCAGAAGAGTTTTTGGAAACTGAAAATGAAGGTGATTTTGTTTTGAAATTGTTTGTTTTATGACTGATCATTCTAATTGCATATACTAAAAAATAATTAATCAATGTAGGTTTGAAAAAGAGACGAAAAGCAAGAACTCATGTTTCATGTTGTGAGTATTACTCTTATAAATTACAGGTTAGGGAAAACGATAGGTCTTTCTTACTACATGTTGGTAGACTTCTGCAACAGTACGTCATAGATATGTATATTAAAATTGAAACATCGAGGTTATAATTTTACAAAACTGATGAAATGCAGAATCGTTTAAGAAATGACATATATCGTGGTGTCATAGATGGTACAGCACAAGGGTGTCAAAAAGGTGCTGATGTAGGCAAGCGTTTAGTATTACCTATGTCATTTATTGGAGGACCTAGAGATATGTATAAAAAATACATAGATGCATTGACCTTAGTGCAGCGTTATGGAAAGCCAGATATTTTCTTAACAAAGACTGCAAATCCAAAGTGGCCAGAAATAAAGAATTTTTGCTTACAGTCAGATGAAACTCAAAATAGGCCCGATATTATTGCTAGAGTATTTTCTGCAAAATTAAATGTCTTAAAAAAAGAACTGCTTCATAAAAATATCTTTGGTAAGATTGTGGCTTACACTTATGTAATTGAGTTTCAGAAACGGGGTCTTCCGCATGCTCATTTTTTGCTTATTTTAGATCGAAATTCAAAAATATATTCTTCTGAAGCTTTTGATAGAATTGTTTGTGACCTAATCGTCGTAATAAATATTTGCATAGATTAGTGAAAAAAATATATGATGCATGGACCTTGTAGTGATCTTGATCCAACTAGCCCTTGCATGAAAACTGGCGAAAAATGTATGTTTAATTACCCCAAAAACTTTTCAGAATGCACAAAGTATGGAGTTAATTCTTACCCAATATATAAACGACGAAATAATGGTCATATAGTTGAAGTTAGAAATGCTTTATTAGATAACCGTTGGGTAGTGCCCTATAATCCATACTTGTTAGCAAAATTTAATTGTCATATTAACGTTGAAATATGCTCAACTATTGAGGCTATAAAATATATTTATAAATATATTTACAAAGGTCATGACCGGTGTTTATACACAGTAAATACATATGATGGAATACCTATAATTGATTAAATTAAAAATTTCCAGAATGGTAGATGGATATCAGCTCCTGAAGCAATGTGGCAAATTTTTAAATTTGATCTTAATGAAATTCACCCAGCTGTAATATCCTTACCAATTAATTTAGAAAATGAACAACTTGTTACCTCCCCTGCCAACCAATCACTAGAAAATGTTATAAGAAATCCAGGTGTTAAAAAGACTATGTTGACACAATTTTTTTTACATGAATCAGCACCACCAACTTGCATAGGAAAAAAATTGCCTCTATGTTGAATTCCCTGAACACTTTACCTGGTATAAAAACTTAAAACAATGGGTGCCACGTAAACGGCAACAAGTCATTGGTCGAATGTCAATTTGTTACCCATAAGAGGGTGAGAGATTTTATTTGAAATTACTGTTGATGCATATTAGAAAACCTACTTCTTTTAAATTTTTAAGAACAATAAAGGGAAGAACTTATAACACCTTTAAAGAGGCTGCACAGGCACTAGGCTTAATGGAACATGATAATACACCTAATATGTGTCTTGAGCAATGTATTCCACATTTAATGCCACCTGCTCTTAGACAGTTATTTGTGACACTTCTTTATTACTGTAGTCCTGTAAACCCTGAAGAATTATTAGCAAAATATGAACATTTTTTTACAGAAGATTTTAGGCAAAACAAGAACTCTGATTCCAATTCAATTAAAACTATGCTTTTAGATAGCCTTTCATGTCTCTTGTACTCAATGGGAAAGAAATTAGAAGATTACATGTGTATAAATAAACACTCGATAATAGATCCTAAGGAAAACTTGAAGAAGGAATTACAAATTGAACAGAATGTGATAATACCCGAAGAAGATTTTTTAGCTATTAATCAACTCAATGAAGCGCAACAGTGTGCCTATAATCGAATTATGCATTGTGTTAATAATAATATATCAACAGTAATCTTTATTGATGGCCCTGGTGGAACCGGAAAAACTTTTTTATATAGAGCTCTCTTAGCTACGATAAGATCAAGAAAACAGATTGCCCTTGTTACAGTTACTTCAGGTGTGGCAGCATCATTACTTCCAGGTGGGCGAACTTCACATTCTAGATTTAACATTCCTCTAAATGTAGATAAATCAACATCTTGTAATATTAAAAAATAAAGTGCATTAGCTCATCTTTTGAGGGTCACAAAAGTAATAATATGGGATGAAGCTACGATGGCTAAACGCATCATTATAAAAAAATTTGATGAAATGCTAAGAGATGTAATGACTTCTAACATGATTTTCGGTGGGAAAATAGTGGTCTTTGGTGGAGATTTTCGCCAAACATTACCAGTCATAGAGGTGCTACAAAAGAAGAAATTATTAATGCTTCCATTATTATGTCACCATTATGGAATCAATTTGAAAAACTCAGATTAACTGAAAACATGCGAGCACAGTTTGATCCAAATTTCTTAGCCTATTTGCTGAGAGTTGGTGATGAAATTGAAGATACTAATGAACGAGATGAGATTAAACTACCATAAAAAATAATCCTTAATTTCACAGATGATGCAACCTCACTGAATACATTAGTAGATATAATATTTCCACACATCACAACCTGTAATTTTGATATTTCTTTGTTCACAAAAAGAGCTATTCTATGTACAAGAAATGAATTTGTTCATGAAATTAATGAAAATTTGATTCAGAACTTTCCAGGTGAAGAAATTACATATTTAAGTTGTGATGAAAGTTCAGGTACTTGTACAGTACCTGATCAAGAAGAACTATTCCATTCTCTAACTCCTAAAGGACTACCACCTCACAGATTAACATTAAAATAAAATGCAACAATTATTTTACTTAGAAACGTCAACCCAACTGAAGGATTATGCTAAGATATCAGTTGGCTCATATATAGGGAAACCTGTTTTCGTTCCCAGAATAACGTTAGAGGCCCCTCTTGAGAGTTTTTCTATCCCTTTTAAGAGGAAGCAATTTCTAATACGTTTATGCTTTGCGATAACAATTAACAAAGCACAAGGCAAAACTTTGGATTATGTTGGTATTTACTTGAAAGAACCAGTTTTCTCACATGGTCAACTTTATGTGGCCTTATCGAGAGCAAAAACTATGCCTCAGCTCAAAGTTCTAATAAGACCACCAATACCTCTTATACAAAACACTGATTATACTAAGAATGTAGTTTACCATGAAATCCTAGCATTAGCAAATTCTGATTTGCAGTAGCAGTGGCTCATCAGTGAACATTTTCTGAGCATGCTTTGATGATTTAAATCATTCATCAGCAGCTCATCAGTAACAACAGCTATATCCATAACTTCGTATATACCAGTAATTAAAGGTTCACTTTTTGTTCATTCCATAGTTTATTCAATACTTGACATAGACCAACGCTTTCATCAGTTTTAATAGTTTTTTCTGATACAGGTCTGAAGAATCCAGGTGTATACCACTTGCAAGTTTGAATGATAAATGTAATGAATGGTGTGTCAAAGTAGTGGTGGCTGAAAAAACTCCAATTCGACGATCTGCAGCCGGAGATCTATATCAAAAATTGCTTTTTATTGACGAGGAGGTAAAATTATCTCAGCTATTACAACATATATCATTCTGTATATCTATTCTTATAATAATAACATATGATTATTTCATGTACAGCACACCAAAATCCAATGTAATGTGTTTCAGACAGATGACGTAAATAAACTGAATGATGTGATTCAGTTATATAACACATATTACATTGGAAATGCAAAAGTAATTCCAACAAACAGAAGGTATGCAGTTTTGGTTGATGCAGAGTACCAAATCATTCTAAATCGAAGTTCATTCATCAAACGAACAAGTAAAGAAAGAAGCATTGCCTCTTGAGAATATGTACGAATTAGCTTCATTTGCACAATGTCCAGAAAGCAAGCTCTACTAACAACCAAATCAGCTAAGTTTTTTGTACTTTTTCACTGATCAAATCAAGAACTTATATGCCTAAACATTATTGAGAACTTGAATGATAATTTTTTGGACTTTCAGACTTGATGTGTGCTGTCATACATTTTTATCCGGTTCGCCTAATTTCAAGTCTTGGCAAAAATGTACAAGAATTTGTGGTGCTTAATGAAGAGTGAATAATAGTAATTACAAACAATGTATCTGACTTAATTTGTTTGCAACAATTTTTTTGAATAACCGATAAATGCAAAATTTTTGCCTCTGCAGATGCAATCCTATGACCCTTAGCTTATGGGAAGAATTCATAGACATAGAAGGCCATCTTTTAGTGGACAATATCCACAAAAAACCCATAATTATGGTCATGCGACTCACAGTCAGTACTTTTCGCTGTAAAAATAATTACACATATCTTTATTCTCCACAATTTGTTATACCTAACTAATAATTATTGCTTACAATAATTTTAAATTATTTTCGCAGGCTTATCTCTTACTACAACCAGAAGTACTGTCATCTTATTTGATCCGCCAACAATCAAGGCTCGAGAACTACAATCATGGTAAATCTTCATTACCTTAACATTTTCTGATAAGTATAACTGAAATACAATCTCTGTTTCATTATTACACATTCATTTGATTATTACTTAAGTTTTACACGGTGAAAATATATGTGTTGCAGGCTAGACTCTAACAAAGATACTGTAGAGGACATCATTGCTGATTACATTAACAAAAAGCCACACCAGATTGTTCACCGACCAACTGATTCCAGAATTCGTACAATCAGCCAACTGCTGAATTTAACTCACCAAGTAACATTAGTTTACAACTCTTCATATGGTCTTATATTCGTGTTTTTTTTTTAAAAAAAAAAATAGACCTCACTTATTCACTTTTATATATGTGCATATAGTCGTCAACGGAACTGAAATCTTTTTGGATAAAAGCCAAAGCAAAAATTAAGGAATCAGATTAGCGTCTTCATGTCTTCATTTGTCCAGTTTGCTCAAGAATATGTTGAGTTTCTCGTCCAACTACATTCACCTGCTTATACTGTAATGAAACCTATCCAGATCCAAAACCAATGTAAGCTAATCTCACTACCGTCAATTAAGATGTTAATAAAGGAAAATGGTTCTTCCCATTGCTTTTTCCTTTTCTATGAAAACTCTGAAATTGAATGACATATTTAAGTTTTGCACATACTATCACTAATGAAATGATTAGCATTTTTATTCTTCTTTTTTACTGTCATAAAGTCCTTTTTTACCAGGTAACATCCTTTTCAAGTCTTATCATACATTCAAGTATCATAAAAACTACAATTCACAGCAACACCTTGCTTTAAAAATTTACAACTTCTATGCACAGGCTACGATTTGAACTCCAGCTGGCTGACGGTACTGGAAGCCTTTGTGCTACCATACAAGAAAAAGAAGCTGAAATGCTTTTGGAAATGTCAGCATCAGATATTGTTGAGCTTGAACAAAAAGTATTTTCGTCAAAACAATACTTTACTTTTTCATTTACTTTATTTGCAATAGACTAACCACTAATGTTGTATCGATATAATGCTCAATGACAGGAAAACAAGTTAGACATTGCTGGCCTAAATCAAAAACTTCGAAACGAACAACGATTCTTCCACCTCCGAAGCAACAAGAAAACAAAGACATCCATCCATATCCGATATACTGTTATTACCTCCTTACCAGTATCCCAATCAACTTCCAATGCACCATATTCTGAAAAGGAGAGTACTACATCCAGTGCAGACAGTCCACTACCAACAGATACAACAATATCTGAAGAAGAAGAAGCAACCACATCAAAGCAAACAGAAGCAAAAGCTACTTCAACAAAGAGAACACTTCAACCAGCTCCTAAACCATCACACACAAAACATCTAAAGCAAGAATAACTGGTCAACACGTGCCCAATCTGGTTAGTGACAGTATGTGCAAAATTCTCTACCTTTCGTCCTTCAAATTTTTGTTGTATATAGGCTTTGGCTGACAGTACACATGCATTTTTTTTAGTAATTGCATATGTGCAGCCATTGTCACTTCTATAACTTCAATCTTTTGGCAAACACAGCAAAGCATCACAAACAAACAGATAATATTGATGCTTACAAACTCATGTTTTCATAAAATATATGTAATAGCCTAGCTTGCTGTTGTAATTTGGATAAACAGGTCTACCTTAGTGTTGTGATTTGGATAAATAGGTGTATACAAGATTTCGCTTGAGTTTGCTTTTCAAATATTAGTACCTTCCTTCATACAGAATCACATCTATTTCGGTAAGTTTGTGCCTCAAATGTTTTGTTCACAATTCTATTAATTGAATTATATATGTTTTTATTCCCTCGACGAATTCAGCTGAATCCATGCACAAAGTATCATCATTGAAGTAATTAAATCCTTACTGAACTTCTTCTCATTTCCTCATATGAACTCAATTGTTTGATTGTTATGTGATTTGCAAACTGTGATCTTATTAGGTTTTTCAAGCTTAATAATCTAATAGGATCCTTCATAAATTCATAGATTTTAGTTTGATTTAAATATGAATGGGTTCGTTTGATTTTTCTATTAGTATGCTAATTTTTGTTCTTTTAAAGTTTTGAATGAGCTTAAATTGCTCGGCAAAATTTCTTTTTACCTTGTTTCTGATTTTGCTACAAAACAATTACGTAAAAGATTCGGTTATGCATGTATACTTTTTGTATAGATTATAAAACTCTGTAACTGGTTTGATTTAATTTTGTTGTTTAGGTCTACTTTGGTTTATTTGCTGAGCGAATTGAAAACATGTCCTAAGCGTATTGTTATGGGGAAAAATCCATTCCATCTTCATATATTGTTAGTGTAAAAAGTGGTGCTAAATTTCATGAACAAAGCTATCTTTGTATTTCTTGGTTGTGATTTATTCTCTGGCAGATCAAAATGTTCAAATGCTGTTTAGTTTTCTGCTTTTGCCACACAATGACTTTAGATTATGTCAATTACTTGACCTAGAGTTACAATGCGGTCCAAGAGTCATAAATGGTAAGGAGTAATTCTGTGTAGAAAAGCAAATGAATGCTATACTTTTTATGCGATGGATTTCGGCAATATCTTCATGTAAAACTCACTTTGTGAGTTGAATTTAAAAGATTGCTCTTCTCGCAATTAGGTTTGTTGTAGTGTCCAGATGAACAGTGACATGCTCGTTCTTACTTAAGTACTTCAACTAGAATTCTAAAGTTGCAACTTGTCGTAGTGAAAAAGGAGGTTCAAGTTTCGTGAAAGTATCATTATGAACGGTCTCTGCAAATGGCTGGTTAATCTTTTTACTTGATAAACTGAAGAAAGTGAAATGTTGATTGAAGAAACATATGCTTCTCATGAGGTAGTACCTTTTATGTTGTTATTTCACTTGCTGCAGTTGTTTGATCTTCAAGGAGCTGCAACTGTTTGATATAATTTGGGAAAATCATTGCATCGCTAAAAGTTTTGCTGATATCTGATAAGCAGTAGTAAGTAAAGTTTTCACTTTGTTTGTTGCTTTACGCGCTTAACGATTGCAGGATGTCTATTCATTGCATAGTAGCTGTTTGATTTTATGCCCACATGAGTTCTTAATGTAAATTTGTTTTTGAGATCTTTATTTTGGTTCTGTTTTCTCCTCCAACTGTTCTTCTTTCTTTCTTTTGTTTTGGCCTTCTTCCAAATCTCAGTTAAGTTTTTTCTCTGTCTGCAACACTAAACATTAACTACAAGTGTGTAATTCTACTGCATCTTTTAGAATTTGCAAAACTTTGCTGTAAGATCAATACTGCAGATTTCAAAACGGATTGTGTTCTGTTCATTCGTTTTACAGTTTTTGGCATCTGGTTCGTTTTCGATTGACGACATTGACGTATGTAATTTTGGTTTTGAATGTGGATCAAAATCTGACCTTCAAATGGTGCTTAAGTGGTATTTAAGGATTGTGCTTGTAATCTTTCTCTGAGTCTCCGGTTGTTACATGGTGTTGAAAAGAGATTGTTAGGTTGTCATTGGATAATGGACCAGATTATCAGTAGGTTTTATGGGTGTTACTTCTTCAAATTGAAGTCTCTGAAATTGTATTTGTAAATAGAATTTAATCTTCCAAATCATTGCATAGAAAAGTCATGCTTGCAAATAGAGTATCTCTGCTGAGAGACTAGGTTAAGATCTCAATCAAAACTTTCTCTGCATTTATAAAATTTACACTTTAGTTTACTGCATTTCTCTACAATAAGTTTTCTCCCATAAATGTTCAATCTTGTCGATAATATTGTAAAATTTACACTTTAGTTTACTGCATTTCTCTCTAGATTTGTCTATGTGACGTGTCATTTGTCTTATAATTTACACTTGAATCTTCTTTTCTGCATACACTTGGCTACAGTAGTAACTGGTCGCCAATTAAGGAAAGACATGTAATTGATGCATTCATAAAATGGAAACATCTGTTGTTTGCATCCTGGCCAGAGTTTTAGGTTAGCACAAGAATATGCTAAACAATATATGCCAACCAAGAACATGCAAATGTCACTCTGCATGTAAAACAGCTTTCAGTACAATATTCTTATATAATGAATAAGACATTTGTCTACCTATTAATTCCTCCTCTCAATTACGTGACATAATCTCCATTCACCAATAAATTCTTTGGCGTTTTCCTACCTTTACTTGCCAACAAATGTTTTTCTTCCCACCGCATAAATTGTTTTTTTTTTTTTTTGACACATCTTTCTTCCCGACATCTTTCCCTCTCCCCTATAAATTATAGGTTACTTTTGAAGTTTTCATTCACTTCAAAAACTTATCTTTCAAACTCTCCTATTTCTTTCCTCTCTTCATTTACTTTGTCTTTTGCTTTCAAAACATTTCTTTAAAAGTTTGCTGATTTCTTCCTTACAGTCCAAATATCTAAATCCTTCTTTAATCCTTCAATATTAACAGAAAATAAATGGATAATTCTAATCCTTGTACTTGTATTCACTATGGCAAGTGTACTTATAATTCGATGTTCGAAAGAGAAGTAGATGAACTACTGAAAAGACTTCTATCTCATCCTGTATGGAAATATATTCTCAAAGCAGCACTTAACAAGGAGTGGAGTCTTTTTCTTTTACTTGAGCACACCGGTACAATCGAAGCTGAAGTACAAATTTAATCACTTAGCTTGTATGTATAATTTTGTAAATTATTGTACAAACATTTGGACTGTTATATAAATAAATTTTTTTGATTTCAAATTCTATTTTTCTTACAACAAAATCATGACGGGTCTCTACTGTACAACGACCGCACGTGTGCAGTCTCCAAACCCCTAGTTCTATATAAAGGCCGCAGGTTTTTCTTGTTTTTGGCCTTCGTTTTTTTTTTCGAAAAGCAACAAAGTGCGCAGCTTTTTCTTTTGGCTTCAGAGGTCAGTGCTGTCTCCGTTTCTCCGGGTTTTCAATTCTTCTAGACTTAGTACTATTTTTCTATCAATAAATTAGCTATCATGTTCATGATTATGAGTAGCTAAACCTTTTGTTTCTGATTTAAGGGATTTAATTCAATTATTTCACATGTGAGGTTTTGGTTTTAATTTAATCTTGTCTATGGTTTGAGTTATTTGTTTATTCTTGTTTTAGTTTTATGAAAGTGAATACCAATTAAATTGACAACTTGGTTGTGGATTTTCTTTTTACTGCTATCTTTTGGTTGTATGTTTCGTATTTGACACGAACCATTGAAATTTAGTAGTAACTAGGTGGATCATTGGTATTTGTGAGACTTGGATGCTTCTGTATGCCTAGGAGTAGGATCGACAAATCATAATTTAATTTATTGTAGCTATCTCAATAATTTTGAATTGTGTTTCAAGCATATTTCCTTGGTTTTTATTGCTATCATTGATTTGTATGGAACGCTATCGTGCCCAGCGTTTAATGATAAACGCTAACTGAATGCTAGGTTTGGTTAGTTAATTTAGGGGAATTTTATGTTTACTACGGCTATCCTAGTATACTTAAACTTGAGTATTCGAACTACAAGAATGATTTTAGTTACCAATGATCTGTGAAATAATTGGATGATCCGTTCCTTGGGTCAGAACCTTTGTGATATTGAAATTTTCTCTTTGTTTACTTATCTTTGCTTTTAAACCTCGTAATTTTTATTTTGTCTTAGTAGTTAGTAAATCAACAAACAAAATCTTTTTGGACATTGTCAAACTAAGAACTAAAAATCTAGCTCCTTTGGGATTCGACCCGGTACTGCTACTACTGTTAAATTTGTAGTTCGGTAGGATTATCGGATTAATTTTGGGTACCTCGACAAGCTTGCCAAAACTAAATAGGTAAACCCAAAAAAAAAGAAAAAAAAACAAAAAGAAGAAGAAAAAAAACACTATGTGAGATAATGATTTTAGTAAGATCTGCCTATCAATTTATTGTACAAACTGCTAGCTTTAAGCTTTGTGTGAGGTTTGTGTCTGGAGGGTTGTTTATGCCTTTAGGCAATTACATTTATATCGAAGTGTATAACGGAGAAACAAAAGTTTTTGTTATTGAAGATATTATGTAGGGTTCTCGTTGATGAGTAGCATGTTTATTCAGTTTAGTTTAATGGGTTATTTAGAGAGTTGTGAAACAAAATAAAAACAGTCTAATCAACTATATTATTATGGCGTAGAGATTTTAGATAGACTGTCAATGGAAATGTATGTTGGTTGTTGTCATTATGTAGAATAGTGTTTTGGTTGGGTCATTGCATTGTATTCAAGTTTCTGAAAATTGCAGAATGATGATCTCTGTAAAGGATAGCCACTTACCAGTCGTTTCCATCAAACTTCTGCAAGTTAGAACTTAGAACAACAATTATCTTTAGAATTATTTTAGCATATAATGATTTTAAACGTATCCAAACAATATTTAATTTATAACTTGTTTATAATTTTTCTGTTTTATAATAATTATTTAGTTTGATTTTTTTACTTTTAAATTAAATTGTTCTAACAATGAATATCTAACTAAACAATTAATTATTTTAGTACAAAGAGAGTACTGTACGTATATATCATTTCCAGGCTATTCTTAAAGTTTATTAGCGAGTGCTTGTCTAATTTCAAACCCTCAAGTTTTCTTGATGACCTGAGATCAAATGCATCATCAGTTCTAACAAATACAGAATTTAAAAATTATATATATGAAAAAAGAAGGAAAAAGAAAAAAA